TGTTTTCCAATGATATTCCAAGTCATTTAGAAATTGTTGTCCCTTATGATAGAGAAAATGATATAAAGATGCTTTTGAGATTAAATCTTATGAATATTCATGTGAAAAATTCACTTTAACATTTTAAAATAGGTAATTCCATAACTTGACCATAGTCAAACTGACCACAACAACTTAAAGCAACACTCAAACCGACTGAAAGATTGATAAATATCAGTTCGGCAAATAATATATCGACAACTTTAGGGATTAAGAAAAAGGCTCTCCATGATAATGTATAATTTACAGGAGATTTCGAAGCTCTTCTCCCCTTCCTAGAGACTGACTTTGTTGATTTTTTCAAAAGTCATCCCAAGTACAAATCTTTCGATATCCATGAACGCTATGTTCTCGCTCCATGCCAAAAAAAAAAAAACAGTCTAAAGGATGTGAGTTCTAAACATGATTAGTTTTAGTCAGTGTGGGAGTTTGATTCCAATGTGATTGGTCTCCTTATGGACAGTGGATTATTATGTCATCCAACAAGCAGACCGTTGTGTACCTAATTTACATCCAACGTTATTCTTTTGAGCCAGCATAAACCAGTTTAGGGGTTGCTTGCTGGAAAATAACCCTTTTGGAGAAACATGATAATTTCCTACAAAGAATCTTGACTCTTGATTCATGGATCATCTTTGTGAGTTTTTTCCCAGGTGGATTCGAGTTTTATGAATACTTGCCTTGAAAATATGGTGATCACCATGGTAGTGCCATTGAATGCTAAACAAAAGATGAGCATATAAGGATCGTTGGTGATGTTTGCAAAGAAGTTAAAGAATATGAAAAATCAGATTCTTCAAATGAAAAAAGCATATAAGTGAAAATGATTTTTTAAAGAAATTTGTAGGTTTAAATACACGAATAATAAAATAATCTCAATAGAATAAGATAACAACCCATATTCTTGATCCGATTTAAATGCATAATTGGATCTTATAATTCTTGTTGACTTTGATTAACCTTGATGATTTTGTTATCGTTATGTTCATCTATCATGAATGTATTAAAGATACATTATATACAACTTTTGTTTGTTCAATGTGCTTGGGTTTTAACATTTTTATTTTATTTTATCTATTTGGCATGTTGGAGATAAAATTGCCACTAACTTCATCAAATTTGGTTTCGACTTATGCATTGGTTTTAAAACTGATGGTCATGCAAATATGACAGATTTGCATTAAATTTGGGGCTAGTATCACAAAAAATCTATATATATTGAGATTTTTCCGTATTAAACCTCAACTTATTTTGTTTTCCTAAAAAATACCTTGCATTTTTAAATAATTTTTCGATTTGACCCTTTAAGCATGTTAACCGATAATTTTCCGGTTTTAGACAAAAAAAAAAGTTTGAAAAAAACCTCAACCATTTTTTCCTAAAAAGCCTCAACTTTTTTTTTTCTGAAAAACTCACATTTGGCAAAAAAAATTCTATTGAACCATTTTTTTTCATTTTGGTTCATAATTCTCTTGTTTTTTTTTTTTTTTTTTTTTTTTTGTGTTTTCATAGTTTTAACATTAAAATTTGAAGGAAACATTTGATTTTTTTTTCAAAATAAAGAAAAATATGTTGTGTCAATTATAGTTGGCAAAATATATATCAAAATCTATTTGCAGAATGTTTAAAGATTGTAGCAGATGAAGAACAAATGTCTAGTTTGGCTTGACAATGTTTCTTACATGGAAAACATGAAAACTTAGATTAGATTCTAAATGTCTAGTTTGACTTGACAATGTTTCTTACATGGAAAACATGAAAACTTAGATTAGATTCTAAATATAGATTAACATTCGTAAATTGTCTTTCTTTTTTGTTTTTAAAACATATAAGATACCAAGTCAACTTAGACCGCTGTTCTTCACATGATTTAATCTATGAACATATAAGATACCAAACCAATTTAAACCATTGTTCTTCATAATAGTACCATCAAATGTTTTTTTTTCTTTAAATTCTAATGTTGAAAACCATTAACAACACTACAAATAACAACAAAAAAGAACATCAACATTATGAAGTAAACAAAAAGTTGGTTCAAATGGAAAGAAAAATTAAGTCTCAAAGGAATATAACGACACTATTATGGATCAAATCATTTCCAAGATTGAAAATGTTTCCAATCGGAAGAACATGAAAGTTGGAATTAAATTTAAAAATTAAGGGTATTTTTCGGGAAAAAAAAGTTGAGGTTTTTTCTTCGTTTTTTTTACATAAAATCGGGGGAGTACCGATAAACTTGCTAAAATGGTTAAATTGAAAAAATAAAAGATTTTTGGAGTAAGAAAAAGTTGAGCTTTAAAAAGAAACCCCAATATAATTTTGTATGATAATCTTATAAAATCTTTCATCAAAAAACATAATTCAAGAATTACTTTACACAAAGTATTCATTAACTCTATATCACACCAAGTTTTAATACACTAACTTATATTTGTGCAATAATTTATTAGATTCATTAAACAAATGGTTTTTACCCCAAGATTAGAAGAACCGTGCTAAATATTTAGCAACTTATGTCTATCAATTAAAATGTTAAGAGATTACAAAATAAAGTTTTAATAGATAAAGGATCAGACACTCAGACTATACCCTTCCACCTCTATTCGTATCACCATCTCCCCTATGTATTATTATTATTTTTTATTATAAGGTAATACTTATAATATTTAAGTAACTATAACATTATCATATTTATTATAAAGTAATATTATAAACATGAACATATAGTAATGATATACGACTTGACATGTTTATATTTATATAAATATTATAAATAACTAAAATAAGCAGATATTTGAAATATTTAATATATTTATATTTGAAAAAGATATAAATAGATATTTTTCTTATTAAAAAAGACTTTATTAAATATCTATTCTTTGTTATAAAAATATAATAACATCATGTATTTCTGTTATATCCTCGAAATTAAAATTTAGAACTTACATTTAGATATATTGTATCCAAATATTGATCAAATATTGTATAAATCTTAACAAAATACTAAAACAAAAAAAAATAATCATTTATTATTATATTTTTCATTCATAGTTTATTAGAAATTATAAAATATATCATATGAATTACATAGCATATGGTCCATTATAAAATAGAACCAAGTCACCAACTACCAAACTTTAGTCTTATTTGAAACGAAACATTACTCAAAGTGGATAGAAAAGATTCAACATAGAAGAAACCAAAAAGTTAGGTAATTTTAATTCATTGTGTACATAACAAAAACACATTCAATATTTCATGTGTATATACATGGGTGTTATTAATTATTTTCATATCTAACATCAATATTATTAATTATGTTTGTTCCCGACATCAAAGACTTTCAAATTGTATATATGTATACTAGGTATATGTATCGGACGTGTTTGTGGAGGTATTTTTAGAAAATTCTGAAAATATTGTAAAACAGTTGTTATTGGTGTTAGAAATTTAAGTACCGGACACATGATATAAAATAGCAACATACTTCACTATTTAGCCAATATAGGCAAACGGAACTGATGCATGTTACAATGGTGTGAATTTTGTTGCATGTCTCAATGTCTTCACCTAATTTGTCCAAAAGTAAATCATAGTTGATTGGGATAGGTTTTTTCATAGTGCCTTATAAAGCTTCTTAAATATAATGATTTTGCAAATAAGAGAGTATTCAGTAAACACCCTATCTTTACCAAACTTAAGATAAATGTCAGTGCAACAAAACTCCCAAGAAGTTTGGAAACAGAAATCAAATTAGGACATTCTTCGTCCAAAAAGATTTAAATAAATTTATAGAATAGAGGTTAAATACAAATTAGTGGAACTATAAGCCTATTAATCTTCAAACAACATATTCAATGAAATGTAGTTTTTCATTCAGTGGGTTGAAAATTACATCGGAGTTCTAAAGTGGAAATGATTAAATGAACTACAAAGAAAGAATTAAGAACATTCTCAGTTCTCAAAGCTAAAACTGGAATAAATCTCATATTCAATATGTTTCATAGGGCTGTAAACGAGCATATACGAGTCCGACCCTACCCAAGCTTGAGCTCTTCTTGTTTAAATTTATGAGACTTGAGTTGAGGTCGGATCGTTTCGAGCCTCATTTTCAAAGCTCGAGATCAACTCGTGGAAAATTTAATAGACTCGAGTTTAGCTCGGACTCGACTCGTATGTCAAGTTTTATTGTTCAAGTTAACAAAAGGGACGATGCAGTTATTTTAGTCACATATCCCATTTGAATATTCATTTTTCACTTATTTGTCCAATAACTTATTTCACAAAAGGCATTAAAATTTAGAGTCAGTAGAAACCATAAAGGTACAATTATTGGGCAAACCTATTTTGCTGGGTCATTTATATCAAGAAGTGCCAAATTATTGCAAATATTTGGTTAAATGTGAAGTATCTTTATTGCTTATTACTCCACTAGTGGAAAAAAACTAAAATTTGTAGGCTTTCGCTACAAGAAAATCACCCTTTAGCGGCGACGCTATTACCGGCGACGGAGGTCTTTAGCGGTGACTCTAGAGATTGTCGCCGTTAAAAGCCCATGTCGCCGGTAATGGCCTTTTTCCTTGTAGTGTTATTTTGTATGGTCACTATGTACATTACAAACTTTCTCTTTTGTGTAATTACAGTATAAACTACATTTGAAATTTCAATCTCAAAGTCTTTTTTTCATGGAAGATGTACCGATCTTTAGTCTTAATTGTTTTTTTATACATGTTTTTATTTGTCTCCTTTTATAACATTCTGGTTATGCTGATTGTATAGTCCTACCATAGTTTTTTAAAACTTCATAGCGTAATAGTATATAGTTAGTTGATCACATGAGATCAGTTTTACCGGAAACCTTTGATTAATTAGAAAAATAAATTTATTTTTAAAATAGAAATTCCAAAATACCGTGACGTATCAATCTAATTTTACTAGAGAAAAATAGACGACCAAACATGGCCTTATCATATCCCTTTTCTAAAAGGTTTTTTTTATTTTTAATTTTTAATTTATTTTTGTGATTTTCAAAGGATGACCGCTCGGCACATTCGCCAATACAAATCCGATCGCTTTCTCTCTCACACACTCAATGTGTGTACTCTATAAAGGGAGGAAATTTTGAGCCCTAAATTTTCTGCTATCAATCTCTTTCTCAGCTTACAGGTATACAAATTCTTTACTCTCTTCACCTTACAAGTTGATGTTTATATCGAATTATTGATGTTTCTTATGCAAACTTCGATTGAATACTGATCCGTTCTCTTAATGATTCAGTCTGTGTTTTCCAATTTTTGTTTGGATTGGATTGTTGATCAGTATGTTAGTTATGATAACTTCAAGCTTGTCTGTCGATTTTCTTCGGTTATTATTCGAACAAGAAGAGATTTCTAGTATGTTGACCTTGGTTTTCCAGATATGGAGCTGTTCATGTTGTTAAATTATTTGTGCTTCTGTTATAGTTCTGGATAAAACTGTAGGTATCAAGTAGAATTTCTGGACTGGTTACATCCTTCGTTGGATTTTACATACTGCTGAATTGAAAAGCTCGAGGATGAATAGGATATGCCTCAATTACACTCGAATAAGTAGAAATTTGTGGACCAAAAGCGTTGGTATAAATTATTTGTAAAAGTAATAATAGGCGAAAAGGAAACTTTACACCCCGTTCCCGAGTTGAACTTAACGAGAGAAAGGAAAGGAAATGGGTGGAAATTTGAAGAAAATAAAAGAAATTGGTGTTCCTGAGTTTCATTAAAGGAGGGAAGTGGAAGTAAGTGGAGAGAAATGAGAGGATCATTTTCCCTCCTAACTTTCCTTCCGATTTGGGAGGATTTGGAAAGAAAGAACAAAATGATTCATTTTCTTTCCACTTCTCTCCAACTCGGGAACACAAAAGAAAATTTTGTTTTCCTTTCCCTTCTCTTCTTTTCTCTCGTAACTTTATTTTCTCTTCTCTTCTTTTCTTTTGTTAAACTCGGGAACGAGGCGTTAGATTCAAAACTTTTCAGAAAGTGGAAGGGGGCAAGTATATACTACTATAAAAGGAATCCTTTCACGAAAATGTGACAGAATTGTATTCTTTGTGTGATAAAAGGCTATACTTCTTCACTTGTTGATTAAAATGTTTGATTGGTGGTAAAGGATGAAAAACATATAAAGAAACTGAGGAATTGCTTGTTACAATGATTGCTATTTGATTGTATATGTTCCTGTTAATTCAATCCATGAATAGAACCTGTGTGTGTATAGCATAGAGGTGTTCCATGTTCATTAGAGAGTTGGACACCATTGTATAAAGATTCATTTTGGTTTCATGTTTAAGAAGTAACAAGATTCTTGATTATTTGAACTTAATTGAATCATAATTGGTCGTTGTAAACTTGTATATCCAAATCCAACCTATCTTGATAGAAATTCTGATATATAATATATTGTCAAAAAGGCGAAGAAATAGAACCAGTTTTCCACTTGAAATTTGTGATAGAATCAAATTCTTGCATCATTTAAGTGATAAAATGTTAAAACATAGCATACAAATACAAAGTGTTACATGTCTTGCATACATCACAAAATCATGTTTTTTTTTTGTTTGCTTTGTAGATACAAGACAATATAAAAGATGAGTACATTAGATGTTGCGAGGACAGAACTTGCTCTTGCTGTTCTGTATTTGAACAAAGCTGAAGCCAGAGATAAGATCTGCAGAGCAATACAATACGGCTCAAAATTCGTGAGTAATGGGGAGCCAGGAACAGCACAAAATGTTGACAAGTCAACCAGCTTGGCTAGGAAAGTTTTCCGTCTTTTTAAGGTCTGAATTATGTTAAAAATATTCAAACTATTTTGCACATTATTCACCAAACTAAACAATATATAATCTGACTTTATTTGTAAACCATATTTGCAGTTTGTCAATGATTTGCATGCTCTTATCAGTCCAGTCTCCCCTGGAACTCCCCTCCCAATAGTTTTACTGGGGAAGGTATGCAATATGCATTCTTTAATTCTTATCTTCAAATGTCAATTTTGTACTTCAATTTTCTCTTTTCAATATTTCTAATCACAAAATGTTTTTTTTTTCCAGTCAAAAAACGCATTACTGTCGACTTTCTTGTTCCTTGACCAAGTTGTTTGGCTCCATAGATCCGGCATCTACAAGGTGCGATATCTTTTCTAGTTTTGATTAATTCTATATTCGTTTTAACTGTTTAACAAAACGGAAACTTTTATAAAAGTAGAATGTCATTTTGGACTCATGAAGTTTTATTATTTTAGAACAAAGAACGGGCAGAAATAATTGGCAGGATATCTCTCTTCTGTTGGATGGGGTCTTCCGTCTGTACTACTTTAGTCGAGGTACATACATATCCAACCCTTGTCTTCAACATTTTACATATCTGACCCTCGTCTTCAACATTTTACATATTCAACCCTTGCTCATCTCCAGATAGGAGAGCTTGGGAGGCTTTCGAAGTCAATGAAGAAATTGGATAAGGAACTCAAGGATACCAATAAATACAAGGTTTGTGTTAATCAATCAAATTTGAAATTACAATTACCTCTTGGCTAATTTATTTGGTTGCTTAATTTAAATTAAATAATAAATACAGAACGAAGAGTATCGTGCTAAAATTAAATCATCAAACGAGAGGTCATTGGCTTTGATCAAAGCAGCCATGGATATTGTGGTTGCAGCCGGGTTGCTTCAGTTGTCTCCCAAAAAGGTGACTCCTCGTGTTACAGGAGCCTTTGGATTCGCCAGCTCCCTCATATCATGTTATCAGGTACTTACTTTATAACCCTTTTTTATTTATACAAGTTAAAAAAATTGAACAAGTTTACAACTTTGGTCCCCAAGTATAGCTGATTTGACAAGTTTGGTGACAATGAAATACAAGCTTAAGTACGACTTCTGAAGATTTCAAAATATGGACTGAACTTGTGATTTTGAGTAGAGGGACCAAATGTGCAACAAAATGTAAACTTACGAACAACTTCAGGAGGATTTACAAAAAAAAAGAGACCAAACTTGCGATTTTTGTTAAATACGTATTGGTATTGGTTTTTGCAGTTGCTTCCATCACCACCCAAGTCCAAATCGTCTTGAGCAGATGAGAATGATGAGTACCCAAAGCTAGATGTGGACGTTGTTAAAAATTAAAATAATTATTAAGATATAAATTGCAGTTACATACGATATGTTTTTGTATGATTTTTTATTTGCAGTCAACAATTGCAATAATGTATGTCGTGCCTGTTTTTATCATATTAGTATTCTGTGTATGACTTGCTTTTAAGATATGGAAATATTACTTGCATGTTAGAAAAACCATGTTTGTGTGTGTACATTAACCAGGTGCCAGTGTTGGAAATTTTAAAGGTTAAAATAGAGAGACAATAATGGGTTTATATGTTTTTTCTCTTTTTAAACTTGTGAAGTATTCGGTGGTGGTCAACCAAAGATCAAACCCACAAGCATATACCTAGATGTCAACGTGGATGTGAAATACAGCTTTGTGAAGTGGCGTGTTGACCACGTGTTTTACTTTCTGATGATGATAACTCTCGTCTTCCGGTATAAAAAAGGACATCACCTCCTAGGGTTGTTACATAGTCTCACAATTGTCATAGCACTCTTTGATTGGGCTTTCCATGTTTAAATTGATTCATAAGGCTGGAGGGAGTCGTGCCTTTGAAACCGCATTCCCTCCCCCGCTACATAAGCGTCACGTCATTTTTTACCACACAAGTGTGGTTTCTTGACACACCAAGGGTGTGGTGTCACACTTTTATTTATTTATTTATTTGTTTTTTTAGCTATTTTAATTAAAACATTTTTTTTAATAAAAAAACATAATTTTTCATTACTTGAAAAATTAAAAAAAAACATTACATTAAAAATTCAAAAAACATTACATCGCATTACACAAAAAAAAAACATGACATTAAAATAATCCTAAAAACTTAAAAAACAAATGAAGATCGAGAGAAGATGACACTTTTGAGAGAGATTGATGATTTTTTTTTTTAAAAAAGATTGAGAGAGAAGAGGGTGTATTGTGGTTAAAAACAAATGAAGTGTATTGATGACGTGCCTAAGACGACACGACAGAATCGCGCCTAACCAGAGCGCCGAGCGTTCCAGCCGGGCTAAGCCCAGCGGCCTCAGCACCCGCCAGCGCCTCTGGGGACAGAATGCCCAGGCGAGGGGCTCGCGCCCGCCAAAGAACGCTCCCAGCTCCAAGACAAAAGAGACAATCAGGGGACAAACAGTGGATCAGACCATTACCGTCGGAGCCAATAAGAGCGCTCTAACGGTTGAGGATGCACGATCCTCCAATCAGCGCCTCTAACCTTGTCTCCCCAAAAAGCGATCCTGTCCAGTACGGACTGGGCAAGAGCGCTAGGTATAAAAGGATGCACCCTCGGACTCACAAGGTAAGCTCTTCTCTCCAAAAGAAGACACCGCAAACCCTAGATACCTTCTAACTTGACCGTCGGAGCGTTCTTCCGGGAGCACCCTCCCGGGAAACGGCTGACGGCCTCTCTTTCTTATGATCTTGCAGAGGCAACGAGGAACCTGATTCACCAATATTAATCCGACTGAAGCTCAGGTCGCATCATTTGGCGCCATCCGTTTGTGAGACGAAGAACACAAACTAAAAGCAAAAGGTTGAAGAATCAATGGCGTCCGACGGCAGCGATGGACACGATGGCAATCAGGCTAGTCCTATACGCTCCATGGCAACGTTGGACGAAACACCGCCGCCCACGGTGGTCAACAGAGCAACCCTAGGTGAGGGAAGTTTTACGATAGCCACCAACACCGCCCCGTAACCTGCAACTCACCAACCAACAACAGCGCCGACGGGGCCACTTTTAACCACATCCGTTCAGATGCCGCCATTCTTTGTACCACCAACGCAGCAACCACCGTCGGTCCACCCAACGATGCTACCACCAGGCCAAGTTTTCAACAGTCAGCCGCCGTTTTCAGTGCCACCGTTCAATCAAGTGACTGGTGGACTGGGCCCAATGCTTTCCCTACCCTACTGGCGCAGACTATGGTAGCTCATACACCACCTATCTACTCGATGGCGGGCACGTGGGCCGGACCGACCATTGCCTCCAACCATAACCTCCAGCAGGCCTCGACAATCAGCCCTTTAACACCAATACACCATTTCCCAACCGACTATCCTCTTCAGTTGCCATTCCAACAACCCCCCTTTTACGGACCAAGTCCAGGCTATCATGCATCGTCGTCATGCGGTTTAAACCTCCAACACCAGTCGCAAGGCACATCAATCGTTCCAACCCAAGACTGCCTTTCTCGCAGCGTTACATCCCCGTTTGTCAAAGAGTTGCTAGACTATGAAATACCAAACACGGCCAAACTGCCAACGCTCAAAACCTTAATGGCACTACCGACCCAGATAGCCACATCGACACGTATGAGTGGACAATGACGTCTCTGAAGCTCGACGAGAGGTTCTGGTGCACATATTTCCCGACGACTCTCGATGGCAACGCAGGCACATGGTTCAAGACGTTACGTCCAAGCAGCATCTCAAATTTCGCTCAACTTAAATACTTATTCCTTACCAACTTCATGCAGCTACGAAAGTACAAAGGAGATTCTCATTCCATAATAGGCTGTAAGCAAAAGGAGGGTGAAACCGTGCGAGAATATTTCACCAGGTTCATAAATGTCACGTTAGACATGCCGGGACATGACGAGGGGCTCATAGCTGACGCTTTCACATGGGGACTTTTACCAGGCCCCTTGTCACAAAAGCTTATGGGTAAGAAACCCCAAACAAGGGCCGAGTTAAAGGAGAGGGTAGAACGATATTTGAGGCAAGAAGAAGGCGAGGCAGCAAAGCAGACATACCTAAATGCTATGACGACCAAACGCCACAACCCAAGTCACACAGACTTTCGAGGGGGAAGTAGGCACTTTGGCCAGGTAAGGAGGCCTCAAGCGAGGTTTCGGACATTCGATAGAGACGACAAACGGAGTTGTCGACTGGAGGTGTATACGGTATCAGAGAGACAACAGCCAACCAAGTCACCCAAGAGCCGGTATTGCGAGTACCACAAAAGCAAGACACACGACACTGCCAGTTGTTCAGTACTCAAGAAGGAAATGGAGGAAAAGCAGCTCAAAGGAGACTTGGTGGAAATAGCGCGGAGTTTGCGAGCCAAATTTGACGCCGAAAACGCCAAGAACGCGCCTCGAGAAGGAGTTCAACCCAAGGAAATATTCATGATACGTAACAAAAGAAGTAGGGAAGCACAGTCGCCAAACCAATGGATCCCCGGACCCCCGGCGCGGATGCTCACGTTCTCCGCGCAAGACCCCCGTCCTGAGGGATGGAGAGGTGATAACCCATTGGTAATCCAGGCCTCCATCAAAGATGTGACCATACACAGAGTCTACGTCGACACAGGGAGTTCGGCAGATATAATCTATGAGCACTGTTTCCGGCTTCTCCCAGATCGATGGAAAGACAACCTGAGACCCACGGCAGGGAGGCTGGTCGGATTCACCGGCCACAGCCTGTGGCCGCTGGGCACGATTCACCTCCCCCTGACAATCACCAACCACGATAAACAACGAAAGAAGACGGTCCTAATTGACTTCGTGGTCATTCGACATTCAGCAGAGCACAACATCATCTTGGGGAGAACGGCCCTCCTAAAGCTAGGAGCAGTCCCGTCGACCATGCATGGAATCTTGAAATTCGACACCCCGGCAGGCCCAGCCACAGTACTCGCCACCCTCCCAGGGAATTGCAGTGCTTTACGGTCATGAAGCCAGCAGTGATGACTAAAGAAACAAAGAAGCCGCGACAAGACCCGACAAAATCAACGAAGGATACCCTGATCAGCCGATCAACATTGGTCACAACCTCCTAGGTCACGTGAGGGAAGCAGTAGTCGACTTACTCAAACGGTACAAGCACATATTTGCATGGACCCCCACAGACATGTTGGGGGTAGATAGGAAGGTCATTGAGCATAAACTGGCGATCAAACCAGGGACTAAGGAAGTGAAGCAGAAAAAAGGGTCCAAGGATGGGACCACAACAGGGCAATTAACGCAGAGGTGGCTAAGCTGGCGGAGGCCGGAATAGTAAGGGAAGCAGTTTTCCCAACCTGGATCGCTAATCCGGTTATGGTGCGCAAGCAAGACGGGTCATGGCGTATGTGTATTGACTTCTCAGACTTGAACAAAGCGTGTCCCAAGGACTGCTATCCCCTCCCGGAGATCGACCAGAAAGTGGAATCCCTGCAAGGGTTTAAGCTAAAGTGTTTCCTGGACGCATATAAGGGATATCATCAGATTCTGATGAGCGAGCAGGACGAAGAGAAAACGGTTTTCTACACGGATCACGACACCTTTTGTTACACCAAGATGCCTTTCGGTTTAAAGAATGCGGGAGCCACATACCAACGACTGGTTGACTCGATCTTCGCCGAGCAAATTGGGAGGAATATCGAGGTGTATGTCGACGATATGGTGATTAAGAGCTCCCATGAAAACAAAATGTTGCAGGACATCGAGGAGACTTTCCGAACACTGGAAAGGGTCAAAATGAAATTGAATCCGGCTAAGTGCACATTCGGGGTAGAAGAAGGACAGTTCTTGGGATACTATGTTACCAAAGAAGGCATCCAGCCTAGCCCAATTAAAGTGGACGAGTTTATGGAGACATCACCCCCAGGCACCCTCAGGGACGCGCAGGGTTTGAATGGGAAGCTCACGGCTTTGAGTAGATTCATCTCGAAATCCGCTGACAAGGCCATGCCACTATTCCATACACTGAAAGGCTGTATTGAAAAGAACAACTTTCAATGGACAGCCGCGGCGGAAGAAGCGCTCCAGAAGATTAAGGAAGCACTACACAAGCTACCCACACTGGCCAGCCCCATCCCAGGGGAAACACTGCAAATGTACCTCTCGACCTCAAACGAAGCGATATCCTCGGTGTTGACCGTAGAAAGGGAAGGAGAGCAGAAGCCGGTATACTTCGTGAGTAGGGCATTACAGGGTCCTGAACTCAATTACCCCACCCTGGAAAAGCTAGTCCTGGCGCTCATTTACGCAGCGCGATGTTTGAGGCGCTACTTCCAAGCGCACCAAATAGAGGTACTAACAAATTGCCCCATCAAACAGATACTATTTAAGCCAGAAACATCGGGCCGATTAGCAAAGTGGGCAATTAAGCTAGGGGAGCATGAGATAAGCTATCGTCCAAGGACAAGCATTAAGGGGCAAGCACTGGCTGATTTCTTGCTC